CTTGCATCCTGCATCATCAGTGAATACATCCATCACCTGAGTGTATGTCGAGCTAACTTGTTAAAACACCATATTATCCTCCTTTTAAACAGTTTTGAAGATTTTTCTAAACCGTGCAGCACTCTTTTTTACTTCCAAACTAGCATATACTAAAGATTAATTAGAGTCTGCAAAAGAAAGAGGTCTTGAATATGTGTCGTGGTTGGCAAGACATTCCAAACAAGGAGGATGAAAACATCTCAACGAGGCCTCCAGCAGGCTTGTTCCTGCCCCTCCTTCCCTGATTTCTTTATTGAGTGTTGACTCCAGGTTGGAAGTGGCCACTGTGTTCAGGGAGTTAGGGGCCAGCAGAGGGAGAAAATACTGTGGGGTTTATGACTGGTGACCAGACCTTCCTCCCGCTTTTGCCCCTTCCCTGCTCCTCTCTTGTGCTGTGTGTGTGTATATGTGTGTGTGTGTGTGTGTGTGTGCACTGCATACATCTGCACTGGTGATCTCTGCACACCATAGGCTTGGATGATGGGCCCACGTATTGTGGATGCTTTCCCAATAAACATGTACAGTACCATAAGTGTATCTTCTCTTCCTCATGATTTTCTTAATAACATTTTCTTTTCTCTAGCTGGCTTTATGGCAAGAGTACAGTATATAATATATACAATGTGCAAAATATGCACTAATTGACTATTTATGTTATCAGTAAGGCCTCCTGTTAGCAGTAGGCTCTTAGTAAAGTTTTTGAGAGTCAGAAGTTATACAGGATTTTTGACTCTGTGGGGATGGAGGGAGGTTGGGAGCCCTAACCTCCATGTTAAAAGGGTCAGCTGTGTATGTGCACATGTGCATACATGTATGTACACATATGCACATACATATATATATGTACTAGGTAACTTACAAAGATACATACAGAACAAGGTAAAAAAAGAAATCTGGAGGGAGAAATTTGAAAGTAAAATTACAGAAGTCAGATTAGTCAACAAATTATATTCCTTAAGCTTGTCTAAGTAGCTGAGTGTGGTCACAGGTTTGGATCTGACTTTCCAGCAGCCAGTGCAGAGAGAATACACAAACAATTACATAATTCACAATATCCATAAGATTAAAACCTGAGTTGCCATGAAACCCCATGGATTAGGCTGCAGTATCATAATAAGGCATTGTGGGATATGCTCAGCAAGTCTTCAGTAGCATCTCTTCTTGCACCAAAAAGTTCTGTAATGCACGACAGAAATCCCTAGAGTTGGAGAAAATACGAAAGAAAGAATATCACTTTCTAGCTGGAGTTCAAGTTTCTGCTGGGACTGGGCTGGGCTAGCCTGAGCTTCCACCTATACTTTTGGTTCGACATTCTGTTTACAGTGCCGAGTAGAGGTATGCCCTGGCAGTCGCGGGAGTGGAGAAGGATGCTCACCGTTGCCTGCACTGGGGAAGTGCGGGCTGATGCCAGGGACCCAGAGGAAAGGGTGCCGTGGGCAGATCTAATGGAAAAGGCAGGGAGGGCATTCTGCGCATGAGACAATGGCATCCAAGGGGCACAGAGGTGTGTAGAGTGCTGACAGGGAGCTATGGGCAGTTTGGCAGTGGGAAAATACATAAGGCAAGATGTGGTGGGAGGTGGAGCTGGAGAAGTAGGCAAGGGCCAGACTGTGCTCACCTCACGTGTTTCTCTAAGGACCTCTGCAGAAAGATGCTGACATGTCACTGACGGGTTTAGACAGGGGAGCTGTGTCTGCTGACGTCTGCATTAATGGCCAATAAATATCCCCTAAGCTCAGTGGCTTAAACAACAACCACATATTCTCACATATGGATCTGTGAGTCTGAGAGGGGAAGGTGGTCGCACTTCAGGGTGTGGGTCTTCAGGTTGCCTGGTATGACCCTGTATGGGGCCCAGGCTGAAGGAACCACAACTACTCAAAGTTAGCTCTTCTCCCAGGGAAGTATGGAAGGACAGTAGGGTGAGTAGACGGAGGTCTCTGGAGGCCTTATCAGAGAAGGGATACACCCTTAGATGCGCCCATATTCCATTAGCGGAGCAAGTCCTGTGGGCAAGCACAGTGTCTTTAGGGAGGGGAGGTGCACTCTGCCCCTCAGTGGGAGCTGCTGCAAGGGCATGTGCCAGAGTGGCAGGAATTACACAGGGAGGGGTGTGAAGAATTAGGAGCAACGTTTCTACCTTAGGGGTCAAGCAGTTGGACTTGACTTTTAGCTGGTTCACTTGAGTAGCTGCATGAAAAGCAGATTTGAAAGAGGTGATGCTGGAGTGGAAGGCCCTCTGTTAAGTGACTGCCTTTTGTCTGTTTTTAACAGTCAAGTGAAGTTCCTGGCACCACACATGACCTTAGCAACATAAACAAACATTATTCATTTAATAATTCTCCTGGTCAGTGACCAAAATGAGAAACTGTGGAGACTAAAATAAATGAATATTTTTCTCCCATCTTCTAAGCTCTTCCACCTGGACTAATAATGAAATTCAGAGACAGATTAACAGGAGAAAATAAAATTTTAATTCGTGCTCGTGGGAAATTAACATGTGCATGAAAATTCCAAAGGCAGTGCGGCAACATTGAGTATACACGGCATTTTGGACAAAGGAGAAAAGGAGGAAATGGGTTTTTTTCAAGTGTGGATGGTGACTCACAGGTAGATGAGAAAGATGGGGACATACACAGCAGACAGATTCTTGCCTAGTGACTCAGAAACAATGGGACATGAGGGTGTCTAGCCAACAAGCTGTCTGGAGCCTCCTGTAATTCAAACTAGGCTAAGAGATCATCCTAGTTTTTCTACATAAATTTCTTGAGCAGGAAAGGAGGGTCAAAGGTTATTTAAATGCCCCCCCCCCACCATGAGTCCTTTGTTTCTTAATGACAGCTTAAAATCAATAGCCCCAAAAGGCAAAACTTTTGGTCCCTTACAAAACATTAAAACCTCATCAAGGCGATGTAGACCAGCAGTGAGCAGCTGCTAATGTACGTACATTTGTGGAGAAATTTATCTTGGGTTCCTTTCTTCCTGCTCCTCCCCACACAAGTCCATTCCTCCTGGCAGCCATTCGTCTGCCTTATATTATCTACTTGGGTGTTAACTCATCCGAGAGAATTAGCAGAGAAGGGGGCGGATTGTTTTGTTTTAGAATAGGACTCTCGAAAAACAAACCTGTGATGGAGAAAAGAAAAGAGATGTAGAGATTGCTATTTCCAAATAAGAGGCTGCCCAAATGTAGTATCAGTAGCAATAACATGGCATTCGTGCAGGTAACTTGATAAAGCACCTCATGTGCATTATCTCAGTAGCTGCTGGAGGTTAGATAATTTGTCCAAAGAGAAGAACTACCAAGTGGCAGAGATGGGACTTAGATTTTCCTGGCTTGTATTTTCTTTTCCTGTGCCAAAAGTGGTCTTAGGAATTGTGTTGAGGAGAACCTTCTGTGCACATGAGAGAAGGGAGGTGTCAAAGGAATACTGCACTGGACATGGTTCAACAGGGAAGGAAGACTTTATTCTATACTATTGCAGTGGGAGGGAGGGAGGGGAGAGGAGAGAGAAAAGGACAAAGAGAGAGACACTGAATTTAACTCCACTGACATAAAAGGGCAGGGGGGTGCTTACGCCCTGAGATGAGCTGTTGGGAAAGTCCTGGAGGACTTTGGGAGTGGGAGGAGGAGTTGGTCAGTGTGTTCAGGCCACTGGTTTTTGCTAATGAGCTCTCATTGAAGTTAGGCTTCTACACTCCCAGACTGGGGTATAGTGGCTCTATCTTCCTTGATGGTTCCATTTCCAAGGGATGGCTTCTCTGTCCTTAAGAAACATGCCTGGGTGGTAAAACTGTTGAAAAGCTGGGAGATTTACATCTCAAGTGCAGAGAAATAATTTACAATGGAAACTTTCTGAAGTAAATGATCTAAATAAAGGGTGATCAGGGACCTATGGGCACCAAGAAACCTGTCTAAAATTCAGTCAGGCTGAGGGGAACTTGGAGGTCAGAGGGCAGCACCACTTTTCCTTACTCTGCAGGAAGCCAGGTCTCAGAAGTTTCCAACTGATCATCACGAGTTTCCCCTGATTATCAGGGGACACACAGGGAGGAGCTGGTGGATCGCTGCACCCTGGTTTCATGAAGCTCCACAGGGGTAAATCCTTGCAGTTTCCTGACTCTGTCTCCGGGAGAGGACAGCGTTCACCTAAATGACATGCGCAGGACCAAACGCATCCAGTCCTTCAGGATTCCATGCGACTCCACAAGAGGGTAGAATGGGGAGGGTTGAAGAGACTTTTGCAGCCCAAAGGTAGAACCCAGGGGCACAGGACACCCTCTTTCAGAAATTACCACCATAAAAAGCAGAAGCAGTAAGTCCAGCAGCCTGCAGCACAGAGAAAAATGGAAATCTCCTTGGCTGGCATTTCGACTTGCCTGAGGGGCAGCGCTGTGCTCAGAGGGGAGGTGACCTGACCTTAAAATCCAGGCCTCAGGAAGTAGAAGGTATTCTATTTTTCCTTTAAGGCCTTGATGGTTTTCATTTAAAAATTTAAAAGATCCAGAACCTTCCCCTGAAGCTTCTTAGCAAAGTAGTGGATTTTTAGAAAAGACAAAGATGGGAGGGGGGCTGGTCCCCAAAGATCAGTGCCTTGAAGCCTCTCTTCCCCCTTTGCAGAGCATTAGGTTTTTTCAACATTCCTTTCCTAACATCACCGCACCCCCCTTTTCCTCCACTGATCTTTTCTTTCATTCTCCAAAGTTCAAACAAACGGTTACCCCTCAGGTCCTGCTACCCATCTCTCCTGCCCCCAAATACCAAGCTTCTCTCATTTTTGTCGGCAGCTTTTTCCTCTGCCTGCTGAGCAACCTGGTGTGCGGAGGAGGAAGCTTCTTTGGCCACACGATGGCGCACTCGAGCCTCCCAAAGCACAACACGCTTCTCCCCCACGAGCTCCACCCGCGTCCCAGCGGCAGAGCTAGCCGCGCCCCCGACCTTCCCTGGCGGAATAGCGGGGAGCCGGCCTCCGGAGCCCGGGAGGCTGTGGAGCCGTTGTCTCGTCCAGCCGGCGAGGGAGGTGCGGCTGGCTGCCCGCAGCCCCCGGCTCCAGGCTCCTCCTCCTGCTGGTCCAGCCTCTACCTCCCCCCCTCGCGGTGCATTTTCCCCTGGCGTGGCTCTGAAAATCCAAGGCTTCCCCCAGCAGCCTGGGAGCAGCAGCGGACGCAGCAAAGGACACGGGAGGAGCGCAGCCCGCCCCTTAGCCGCGCCAAGCCTTCGGGCAGCAGCAGATGCTTTGCTAGAGCAGCCCTGGAGGCGCCCTGCAACATTAAGAGAGGAGAGAAGCCACGGGCTGAAACTGGGCAAGGGGGAGGAAAGCGCACGCTTGTGTGTGCCAGAGTGTGGAGGACCACAGTCTGGAATTAGGGCGGAGGAGAGGGCAAAGGAACCGGGGTGCGGCCCCTTCGGCACTCCCCTCTGTGCCTCCTCCGGTCCCCCGAGCTTCTCCTGCCGCGGCGCCAGCTTTTTAGCGCCCCTCGCCATGGACTTGCGGGGAGTTGAGATGCGCCTCGGCAGCAGCGCGCGGGTGGCTGCCCGGCCTGGGGGGTACGCGGGCGCGCGCACCGTGATGGCGAGGTAGGATGGCCGCCCAGCGCAACCCTCGTCGCCCCAACCCAGCGGCCCCTGGGCGGTGCCGCTGACTCGCCGGAGCGCACGGGGGTGTGGGCGGAGGTGGCCCCGCCGCGCCCGCGCCTTTGGGTGTCGCTTTGCCTCTTCCACCCACTTGCACCTGCCACCCCACGGATAACATGTCGAAGGCGGCCGGAAGCGGAGCGGCGGCAGCGGAAAGTTGTCCCCCAGCCTCTGCTGGTGCGTCCGCGGCCGTGGAGGACCTGTCCAAAGTGTCGGACGAGGAGCTGCTGCAGTGGAGCAAGGAGGAGCTGATCCGTAGCCTGCGGCGCGCCGAGGCCGAGAAGGTGAGCGCGATGCTGGACCACAGCAACCTCATCCGCGAGGTGAACCGCCGCCTGCAGCTACACCTCGGCGAGATCCGTGGGCTCAAGGTGAGCGTGGGGCGGGTTGGGGTGTCCCAGGGAGGCTCGGCTCCGCGGGACAGGAGCGGGGTGTCCCAGGGAGGTGGGGCCAGGCTAACTTTCCCTCCCTCGGTCAACAGGTGATCCTCCCCATTTTCCAGGTCAGCACCCCTGTTCCCCATCCTCTGCCCTTTGGAAACTTTTCCAAACTTCAGAGGCTTTTGGTTCCCTTCTCTTTCCCTTGAAGGAAGTCCAGCCTCGAACTCTCTCGCGGGGTCCTCTGTGGCGCGGGCGCGGACGCCTAGGACGCTGGAAGGCTGGGAGGAGGTGATGGGCACACAGAAGCTTTAATTTCCCAGGGATCCGGGAAAATCAGGGTTTTGGGTTACAGTGCTGGGATACATACCGGCAGGGGAAAAAAGGCAAGCGAGGGAGCGAGTTCAGGGCATTTCCAGTGCGAGTCCAGTGCGAGTCCAGAGCGAATCAGGGATCGGGGATACGAAAAGGCTGCTCTGGCTCCACGACTTCTTCCACGGGTGGGGGTGGGGGGGCGGAGGCGAGGACAGGGTGCCAGTTCCCGGGAGAGGGGCCGGCGGGCGTCCAGGGAGAGGCCACGGCGCCACCTTCGGAGCTGGCCTGTGTCACCTGGCGCAGAAGAGGTTAAGCTCTGTTAGGTTTTCTACTTTCTCTGTGCTTTCCTTCTCCCGGAATTCGGAATTCGGATGTCGTAATCTGGGTTACCTGCCCGCCCCCCCCCCCCCCCCCCCCCCGCAGTAACCCCGTTTGATTTTAATTTCATCTAGAAAAGGGGTGTAACTAAAGGACTCACTATGGGGAGCACAGGGATTTGAAGGTTACCCCAAGTGTCAGTTCGTGGTGCTTGTTTTTTGAGCCAGCCCTCCTGCTTTGCTACTAGGGAAAAGAAAAAGAAAAAAAAACCTCTCTTCCCCAGCCCCAATCCCTCAACTTTCTTTTCTCCTTGGAGAGCTGTGAGTGTGCCTGCAGTGCGCTGCGCCCAGCCGACTGCTCCGCTTCTCTCACCGGTGGCAGGAGCCGCCCTGCGGGCGTGCACCACAAACTTCCTCCCCTCACTGCGTGCGCTGGTGCCTCCGGGTACTCCTTCCTCTCATTGTTCTGCTTTTGTTTATAGGAAGCCAGACACAAACGAAATCACTGCAGGGACCTTAGGGAGCAAATTCCTACAGGCACATGGTGTACTTATCCCCTTTCCACTCCCGCCCACTTCTCAGGCTGTGGATGCTTTCTTCATTGCCTCAGCTCTCCAGCGCTGGGGTTCTGGGGCTGAGACGAGTGGGCCGAGCAGAATGTCAGATGCTCACCTGGGTGGAGATGGCAGCAAGGGACTGTCATATTGTCCCTAGAGTGGGTACAATTAGGGAGATCTCATGTCGGAAAAAATCCCCAGGCTTACTCTTTTCTTTGGCTTCATTCATTACTAATGGATAATTTATTAAGGACCAGACTCTTGTGGGATCAGACAGACTACTGTAGTGGGAAGATCATCTCAGAGGTGATTTTGTATCTAGAATTCTCATTTGCCAGGAGGATGAGCTTGGGTAATTAATTTCTCAGAGCCTCATTTTACTTGTCAATACAATGCAATGATAATAACTGTCTCCAGACATCAAAAATACAACTAAACTACAGGACAACCATTATTCAGAATAGCCTGAAATCTAGCTGAATGGAAGTCCTACAACTAAGGATATAAAGGAGAAGTCACATTGGGACAGGTAGAAGGGGTATAGACTAGGAACTGGCTGGTCCCATACCTACACATGAGGGATAAAAATCGGGAAGGATATCTCCACTGCAGATGTCCACCCCGAGGAGCAAGGGTTCCCAGTTCCCCACATCAGGCCCCTGAGCCTAGGGTTCCAGTGCCAGGAAGAGAAGTCCCCATAACTTCTGACTGCAAAAACCCAGCAGGGATTGTGGCTGAGTGATATACTGAATGCCAGGCATTCCTGTTAAAGGGCCTGCACATGAACTACTTGAATTCACTCCCTCTGAGTTCCAGTGCTTGCGATAGCAGCTCACAAGGCACCAGAGGAATATGGGGAGAAGCTGAAATGTTTGGCATCAGGCTGAGAATTGGAAGAACAGCTTTCTCCCAGACAGAAGTGATGGCAGAGGCCATTGTTCCTTTTCTGAGCCCTTGTACCACAGAAGTGGCAGGCAGGGGCCATATCTCAGTCTCCCTCAACCTGTTTATCACTGTTCGCTGCCTTTGTGATTCCTTCCAACAACTTTTGGTCCCACCTAAGCTCTTTCTAATGGCTTTTGCAAAATAATGGCCTGTCTTCTCTCATCCCTCATACTTTACTGAGATTTCTCAAACAAGCAGCATCTGGCTTCGTTGTGCCCTGTACTACTTGCTAAGTGGCCTCAGGCTTGGCACTAGTGGCAGCTGGCATTGGTTCACAGCTTGGCCTTTCCTGGGCACCACCAAACCCAGCACAAATAGCAGCCATCTGCAGATCACTTTGTAGTTCATGCCAGTGGCCCCAGGAAGAGCACAGGCAGTGACCTTGGCCTGTACCTCCTTGGAGGCCTCAGAGCCAGTGCACCCAGTGGACAACTTCAAACCATATCAAAGCACCACCCAACCACCTCTACGAGCAACACACTCAAGGGGCAGACTCAGTAGGCACCAATCCCCACTGAAGTAAGTCCTACTCTGTGGGATGGGCCCCTACACAGTTAACTACGGTCACAGCCAGTCCTTGTAGCTGAATGGCCTAGAAGTAAATCCCTCCCACTGAAGTGCCAATAGCAATCAAGGGTCTACTACAACAGGAGGGGAGTGCACCTGGGATGCTCAGCTGGGATGAATGGGGAGGCTGTGCCACTGGACCCTATTGGATACTTACTCTGTTAGCCTACTTCACCAAGCCTTAGAGACATAGCAGCTCTACCTAATACATAGAAACAAACACAGGGGAACTGCCAAAATGAGGAGACAAAGAAACATGGCCCAAATGAAAGAATAGAACCCTAGAAAAAAAGAAACCTAAACAAAATGGAAACAAGCAATCTACTAGATGTAGAGTTCAAAAACTGGTTATAAGTATGCTTACTGAACTTAGGGGAAGAGTAGATGAACTCAGAGAGAACTTCAACAGTATAAAATCGGATGTGGAAACCATAAAAAAGAACCAGTTTGAAATGAAGAATACATTGGTTGAAATGAATAATTTAGAGGGAACCAACAGCAGAGTAGATGAAATTGAAAATCAAATCAGTGGTTTGGAATATAAAGAAGCAAACAAAACAAAACACCTAATCAGAACAGAAAAAACAAAAATAGACTCTAAAAAACAAATGAGGATTGTGTAAAAAGCCTCAGGGATGCCTGACTCCAAGTGCACCAACATTCACGTCATGGGGTTGCCTGAAGGAGATAAGAAACAGCAAGAAATTGAAATCCTTTTTAAAAAATATGACGGGAAACTTTCCTCAATCCTGATGAAGGAATTGGATATACTAGTCCAGGAAGTGTAGAGAGTCTCAAACAAGATGAACCCAAAGAGGCCCACACCAAGACACATAACTAAAAATGCAAAAGGTTAAAGACAGAGAGAGAATCTTAAAAGCAGCAAGAGAAAAGCAGTTAGTTAACTACAAGGGAGCTCCCACAAGATTGTCAGTTGATTTCTCAACAGAAACTTTGTAGGCCAGAAAAGATTGGCAAGAAATATTCAAAGCAATGAAAAGCAAGGACCTGCAACCAAGATTACCCAACAAAACTATCATTGAGAATTAAAGGACATATACAGAGCTGCCCAGACAAGAAAAAGCTAAGGGAGTTCATCACCACCAAACTCTTCAACATAAAATATTAAAGGGTCTTCTTTAAGAAGAAGACTATAAAAAAGATTGAAAATATGAACAATAAACTGGCAATAAATACATATTTATCAACAATTGAATCTAATAAATGAACAAGTAGAACAGAAAAAGACTCAGATATAGAGAATATTTTGACAGTTGCTTGATGGGGGGGTATGGGGGTTAGGTTAAAATGATGAAGGGCTTAAGAACTACAAATTGTTGTTACAGAATAGTCGTGGGGATGTAGGATACAACAGAGGGAATATAGTCAATAATATTCTAATACCTATGTATGGTGTCAGATGGGTGTGAGATTTAGCAGGATGATCACTTAGTAAGTATGTAATGTCTAATCACTGGGCTGTACCCTGAAACTAATATAATGTATGTCAACTGTAACTAGAAAATAAAAAATGATTTTTTAAAAATAACTATCTCCCTGGGGGTTGGGAAAATAAGTTATGATAATGTAGGGGAAGGTTTAACACTGAACTTGATTTTAAAAAATGGTCATTTTTCTCACCAGGAGGGGACACATCTCCAGGATCTGGGTTTAATAGGCAAAGTTGAAATAAAAGTATCGTTTGTAACCCTCCCATTTAATCTTCTTTTATGTTTTGAACTGTAAGGTGACTTGGAAGAGTTCAATTAATTAGTTAATAGTATGGAGCATTGATATAACAGTTCAGAACCAGTTGGAAGTTCTTTTAGCATTTGTGGATTGGCTGCATGTGTGAGTTGGTGTGTGAGCAGTGGGGGCCTGGTCTTTGTTCCACTAGCCTCACTTAGAGAAACACCTATTGGGCCAGTTCAGTAAGGGTGGTCACACCCCAAGTAGGGGAGTGTCCTGGTGGTCTAGCTTTGTGCCCTGGCATTAAAAGACTTTGCAGCCCACCTCCTTATCAAGTTCAGAAATGATGGGGTCTGACTAGTTTCTGAAACAGCCTCTACTCTTCCTTCCCATCATCCCTGGACAGCTGCAAGGTGGTATCTCCAAGACCTCTAACCCACCTCTCGGGGCTGTACCAAATCTCAGCTGAGAGGCCAAGCTCCCTTCTCTTCAGCATCTCCACATAGAGCCTCCCTGGGCACCATAGTGATCTGTAGATCTGTAAAAAAGGAAGGGATTCTTCTTTCCTCTGATGATTGGGATTCTCAATTGGGGACTGTAAATTTAGGGTAATTAAGGCCATAACACTTTCTTCTTTTTTATGCCCTTTGTCTTTGAAATTGAATGTAAATATTTTCAGGACTACTGGGTGGTACTGTAGCCGTGGACATGGGGAGATGGGAGCATCGGTTCTTTTCTTTTGAAGCACCTGTGACTCTGTCCAGCCACTGGCTGACTTGTTCCTGTTTAAACATTTAGGAGGTAGTGCATCGTGGGGCGGTGGAAAGACAAAGGATTGGGCAAACCGTTAACCTCTTTGAGCTTCAGTTTTCTCATCTGCTAAGTGGGAATAGTAATTCCATGCAAGGCTTGATGAGGATTAAATGATATGTAGCTGAAGTAACCCACTGATCTTAAATGGCTCTCTCAAGGTCATATAGGTACAAATGGTCAGAACAGGCTGACTTTCCTTTCCTTTGGCTAGCTCACATTTTCTGGATAGAATGTGGTCCTGAAGGGGGTGGAGAAAGGAGATTAGAGTTTGGATGTTGTAAGGAACTGGATTCCTGAGGACCGTGTCAGTGGGTTGCTGACCACATACCAACACTCCGGCTGCTATGACCTGGATTTGTAGGAGGTGGGGTGGCTTTGGGGAAACGGGGTCTCTGCAGCATATTTTCCTCCTTGCTCCCCTACACACTAATTTTCCATCCTGCAATGATGAAAAAGGACAAAACAATTCTTCTTTCACCACAGATACAGTACTTGAGAGTCTTATGAAAATGAAATTTGGAGTTGTGTGCTATGAGACGATTTAATCTTTTACAAGGCCACTTTAAACAGCAGGGTAACATCTGATGGCTTGTGGCAATGTTAAAAGGGCACTTAGTGTTTTGAGGAAGAAAGCCCAGGTTTTGATGTGGCAGATTTGAAGAAGCTGGTTCACAAGTTTAGTATGATCAGGCTGGTTGCTTAGCTGTTCCTAAGGAGGCAAAAGAAATAGCTCGAAATTGGAAAGTAAATAATATTCCCAAGAAAACTAGTAGTAGGAAGGAGGAGGCTGGGATGAAGGAAGGTGAATGGACCCACACCCACCCTTTTCTCCCCCAACCAGAACACTGAGGAGTGTTTGTTTCCCTCCATTTGGAAAGGGCGTCAACTCCCTGAAGCCCACAGAGCCACAAGTCCTGCTTGCTTCCCAGTTCTGGAGAAACCAGGGACAGTTGTAGGATAGTCAGAGGGAAGTCCTTTCAGATGGACATTTAATTAGATGAAGAAGAACATATTTGAATTCTCTATGAAATGCCAGGATTGAACTAAACGTAGAATAATTTTTGAAGCTTAGAAAGATTAATTACCTTTAGTATTATTTTCTCAGAATACCCATGGCTTCTGATTTCCCCTAAAGCATCAGTGTCAAGGGATAATTTATTCTGTTATTATTGTAGACTGCAACATAGCAGGACTTGCTGCAAATAATAAGAAATCCATTCTCGGTAGCTAGAGCTGTATTCTGTTTTCGCCGCAAGCCTAGGGCTTTAAAGGATTGGTCAATCTGTAAACACATATTAGGTGTTCACCCTATACAAAGAAAGCATCATGCCAAGTGGGTCAGATATGCAAGAAGGATATTGGGATGTACTCTGCCCTTCAGAAGCTACCTGCATTAGAAAAGAAAAAAAATGATGCCCAGTGAGTGCCCTAGCTAGTATGTCTTACAGGTAGTTATCAGAGAATGGAAGATTACTTATTTCATTCATTCATTCATTCATTCATTCATTCATTCACTGAGTGAATGTAATCCAGGTGCTGCTGTAATCCAGGTGTTGTTCAAGGGTTGGGGGAATCTTCTCAGAGGAATTTCTCCTCTAATAAATTCATATAAGGGAAAAGATAGTATTTTTTAGCTGGAAAACTAGACAAAATCAGGGTTCAAAATGAGCTGACATAGAGGAAGCTAAAGGCGGAAAGGCAGGAGGAAGCCTTTCTGGCCTGGCCATGGATTTATTCATTTTTCTCTGGCAAAGGGGAGGTGATATGTGTTGATATGCAGGAGAGATGTATCCTGCAGGGAGTGTTTTTGATCCGTCTGGCCCAGAGAGCTTGGACTGGAGGGGGTGAGGGGCATACCGAAGGGGATTAGAGTGGGTGGGGGGCAGAGGAAGACCAGGGAGGCCAGGTCTGAGGCTTTTGGAAATGCCTCAGAAGTGGCAAGGGGAAACGAAAGGAATAGGTGGGCATTAGAGACAAGGAAGCAGGCATTGGTAATGGCAAGAGTTGGCACTGGAGTTGAACACTGGGCTGCACAGAGATGCCCTTCTTCCTCAGGCCTTGAGACTCACTCTCGTCTTTGGTCTCCTGACTGTTATGAAGTGTGGGGTGTGGTTGGTAGATGTTTTCTAGTTCATTTTTCTAGTCCATAGCAGGGGAAGTATTGGAATCAGTTTAAGTTTAAGAGAATTACGTCCCCTCTCCTGGCACCTCTAGTTCTGAACTGGATGAGAGTCACAGCCGGAGGTTTTCAGGGTTTGTAGAGTAGGGAAATCTTTGGTAGCAGCCTCTGTTTCACCCCCATCAAACCATGGCGCTTCAAGAAGCAAGTTACCCTTCTACTATATGTGTGAATGGAGACTAAATGGGGACTTCTCAATTAAATTGTAAAATTTCTTGGTTTCAGGTGTCTACAGTGGGGGGCCTTGTTCTCGATACACAGAGGGGAAAGAATAGATGATGGGGTCTCCACCCTCATGACTTGTTTGATGAGGATGGAGACAGGACTAATAGCTACACTCAAACATGTCACTCAGTTGTATGTGACTACAAACTGTAGTAAGTGCAGCAGAGCTGAAGTCTAAGGGGTAATGGTGGAGCGTAGAAGGGGATTTTGTACAGATTGGCGGTAGTGTTCAGGGGTGGCTTCTGTGGCGGGACAACAAAGTAAGACCTGGAGGCTGTGTGGAGGGTTGGGGGAAGGCATTCCAAGTGAAAGAGGGGAAGGGCTTATAGCACGAGGTCCCGAAACAAGGCCAGTGTTGGGGCCCTAGTGCATGCTGGGAAGAGCATGCTCTCACCTCCTTGACTGCCTCCCTGTGTGCAGACCACCATCATCACCCTCCACCTGGACCAGCCCCGTAGCCTCCTACCTGGCCTTTGGGCTTCCACCCGATCCCATCTCCTACTCCCCTAGCCATCCCCCTCCCACCAAGCCAGTCTCTTTTTCACACAAAACTATGGTGTGAAAACTATCATGTCACTTCTCTGTCCTCTGCTTGCCAGCAATCCAAAGTCCTTCCCGTGGCTGACAAAGCCTTGTGTTACCTTGCCCCTGACACCTCTCTGACCTCTTTTCCAGCTCTGCCCTCCTTGCTCACCTCACTTTCTACAAGCTGACCTCACTGCATCTTAGCCACATTTGTCCTAGGGCTTTTTATACTTGACCTTTTCTCTGCCTGGTATCACCTCTGAAATGTTTGCTCCTTTGCTGAAATGTTTTTCCTCTCTGCAGAGTTGCCGTCTGTAAAAATAAATATATAAATAAATAAACAAATAAATAAATTGGTATTCTTTAATCTGCTTTAGTGTCTTCCCACCACTTTTGACTACGTGACATTACATTCCATATTTGCTCTTTTGCCAGTCTTTCCTACCAGAATGAAAGCTGTAGAATGTTGAGGTCTTTGCTGCATCCACTGGTATATTGCTAGCATCTGGACTGGTACCTGGAATATAAGAAGTGCTTACTAAATATTTGTGAATGAACCAATGACTCACCATTCATGTTGCAGAAGTAGGCCAGTCCAGCGGATTGAAAGCCTTGTGAGACTCTTTGCACTTTATCCTAAGGGCAGTGAGAAGCTGTTATGAATTTTAAGCATGGCGTGATGAGATGAGATAAATTTTGGAGTTAGATTTCAGAAGATTCAGTTGGCTCAGAAGTAGAAAGCGAGAGAGGAGTTTCTTATAAGGAGCAACAGGACAGGTAAGGTGGAATTTGCTGCTGAGAGGTGCGATTTGGGGAGGAGACTTTGAATATCACCCAAGAGCTCAGCATTGCTGCATTTCCTGTGCAGGGGGTGTGGCAAGTGGGGGTTGGATGTGCGGGACTGAAAGGGCACTAGAGGGCGATTGTGCTGTTCCCTGGGGCAATTGGGGCTGTTTACCCAGGTCACGGGCTGGAAACGGAGGCAGTGCTCTTTGTGCTGGTGAAAGAAAGGCCTGTTAGCTCCGAGCTTTTATGCATGTCACAAGCAGCCATCTTCCTTCCTTGTAGGCAGGACCAGGGAGCGTTTTTGTTTGTTTGCTTGTTTGTTTCCTGATTTCCTGTTAATTAACAGGCTGCTCCCTGAATACTAAAATGCTGAGTGAATAACCTTGGACAAGACAAAGTTTGCAAGGTCCAGTTTTCTCTTCTGTAAAAGAACCATAAGGATCATTATCCCCTAAGTGTTTTGGTGAAAATTAGACAAGATAATACACATTAAGCATTAGGCAGGGAACATAACCAATGCCCATTATTTTTATTTTTGTGGGTAGCTAGAAACCTGAAGTTTGCTCTCACCTTCTCCTCTCCTCCCTTAACAGTACAGAGAATTCACCAATTCTTAACTCCTTGGCTCCAGCCTGAGGAGTCTAAGCCTGAGGAAGCCTCATATGTGCACCTCTCTTGAATGGCTGTTTCTCTCTTTCCAGGATATCAACCAGAAACTCCAGGAGGACAACCAAGAGCTGAGGGACCTGTGCTGTTTCCTGGATGACGACCGGCAGAAAGGCAAGAGGGTGTCCCGGGAGTGGCAGAGACTGGGCCGCTTCACCGCAGGGGTAATGCACAAAGAAGTGGCCTTGTACCTGCAGAAGCTGAAGGAGCTGGAGGTGAAGCAGGAGGAGGTAGTGAAGGAGAACATGGAGCTCAAGGAGCTGTGCGTGCTGCTGGACGAGGAGAAGGGCGCGGGCTGCGCGGGCAGCCGCTGCTCCATCGACAGCCAGGCCAGTCTGTGCCAGCTCACCGCCTCCTCCGCACCCTGCGTGCGCGACGTGGGCGACGGTAGCAGCACCTCCAGCACGGGCAGCACCGACAGCCCTGACCACCACAAGCACCACGCGAGCAGTGGCAGCCCTGAGCACCTGCAGAAGCCACGGGCCGAGGGCAGCCCTGAGCATGCCAAGCACAGGAGCACTAGCCCAGAGCATCTACAGAAACCCAGGGCCTCCGGGACCCCTGACCACCCCAAAGCACTCAAAGGACCCAGCCCTGAGCACCACAAACCCATGTGCAAGGGCAGCCCTGAACAGCAAAGGCACCCGCACCCAGGGAGCAGCCCTGAAACGCTGCCCAAGCACGTGCTGAGCGGGAGCCCAGAGCACTTCCAGAAGCACAGACCTGGGGGCAGCCCCGAGCATGCCAGGCACAGTGGAGGGAGCCCTGAGCATCTTCAGAAACACGCCCTCAGTGGAAGCCTGGAGCATCTACCCAGAGCCAGGGGCACCAGCCCTGAGCACCTCAAACAGCATTATGGGGGCAGCCCAGATCACAAACACGTGGGCGGAGGCGGTGGAGGCGGCGGAGGCAGCGGAGGAGGCAGCAGGGAGGGTACCTTGCGGAGGCAGGCACAGGAGGAAGCGTCACCCCATCACCGGAATGTCTACAGTGGCATGAACGGTGGGTCAGTACGTGCCGGGGAAAGGCTTCGGCTGGGCCAGCTTGGTAGAGAGTTCTGAGTGATAAAGGGTGTTCCAGCCACTTGAGAGAGTGGGCTGGGGTGGGGGACAAACTAACATTTGTCCCCAAATCATGATGTACGTTTCTACCCACTGTACCATTGGTTTTAGTTCACACGATTATCCATCCAAGAAGCTTGGAGAGGAGTAGGAGGCATTAGAGAAGGGAGAGGAATAATTCTGTGGGACCCTGAGTAATCAGGGTGAGATTTATGGGTACTGAAGATAAAACCAGAAAGAGTCTAAGATTCTTCCGTCTGGAACTTGAGTGTTTTCTTAGTTGTGTGCAGTTTCCTACTGGGGCTTGCTTGTGGAGCAGGTGACCAAAAGGTTTTTGAATCCAGTCAATAGTTTGCGTGCAGGAAGAAATGAATATTTATTATGAAAACAATAGCATCATTAAAAGCAGATACAGCATTCCTAAACCGACTTGATGCCGGGTTGCCTGAATGCCTTAACTTGACCTTGGGATTTTTTTCATTGTGTTGGGAGCCTTAACATGACTCTGTAACTTTACTTTCCATTTAAAATACATCAAGAAATCCCTTCCCCACTCACTCAAAACCCAACCAATCCTCCTACCAAACTCCCTGTAACATATTCTGAATAGTGCACTCTTTATCTTACAAAAGAAATCTTTTTCTGTTGCTTAAATGTTCCTTTTTAAAAATGGGCAGATATGTTTGGACACTCCTTGGGCTTCCAAAGCATAATATCCACTGCATTCGCTGAAGTGGCTCTAAACCCAAGTTTTTAAACCTTTTAGAAGAGATTTAATTTTCTGCATCTTGGTTCTGAAACCACTTTGAACTCAAGAGGGAAAAAAATCCTTTCTTTAAAAAAACAAACAAAAATCCTCACAGTCCTTTTTTTTATGTTTCTTATGGTTGAGTTGGAACTAAAATGATTGGCTTTATAAACTGTGGGCTTTTTTCACTCAAAATATCTGAGCTTTTTCACTTTGCTTGAAAGCTTCTCCGGAGTCAACAGTCCGCTTTGAGCAGAGGCGGCTTCCAATTTTAGCAGTGACACAATGGGGTAAATTTTCAATATCGTCCTTGGGGATTTACCTGTTGGGTTCCATTTCATCCCAGCCCGTTCCTTGTAGTGCTGAAAACTGATTCCTGAAGCTTGGCTTCTAATGCATCCAATGTTCTCTTCAGTACAAATGGAACTGGAAAGGGAGAGGGGTAGATAGGATGATTGGTGGCTTGTGTTGGGAGATGGAGGGAACAAGAGGCCAGTTCTCCTGTTGTGCAGAGGCCTCCTGGCTGGCTGGGGCTTTGCAGTTCATGTTGCGCCTTCACTCACTCTTTCTGGGGGAGGAGAGATGCTGCCTGATGCCTGTGGGCAGCCTGGGCTGTGCAGGTCTCCTGGGAATGGAGGTCATTGAGAAAGATTTTGGTTGTGTTACTACCAAAGCTGGGTCATGGCCAGTGAAGCTTGTCTTTAGGGGTAATGGGCTGATGGGATGGTGAAGTTAATGATTTTTCCATTTCTTGATTACTTTTTGATGAGCATGAGAAGTAAATACTGTGCACTGTTTTAAGGAAATTTTGTGTCTCAAAGCAAAAAAAATAATTACATAGGGGCAGGTGGTTAACTTACAAAACAATTCTGTCTACCGGACAAGTTTTTAAAATAAGAAACTCATTTAGTTTAATCAATGTATGTTTTAACTCACAAGAAAGGATTTTAGGTGCAAACCTTTAAAGAATGCCTGTCACAAAGTAAGGCATGTGTTTAGATAAGGGGGACACTGTATCATGACATGTCGCCTGGATGCAGATAAGCTCAGGGTTCAGGCCAATGTGTTTTAAAATTTAACAATTTTATTTAGTTAAAAATTGGATGCATCATGTAGAATGCTACTATATTTAATTTTTTTACTTTTCTCATTCTAAAATGACAGATCTTTGACAGTTGATCTCCTCACCAAGGGATATTTGTAGTACATTGGCATCATGTTTTCATTTCAGTAATAGATTGGAAAATGAAGTGGCATGATGTTCATGGATTGTCAGCCTGTGAACTTGGGCATTGGTAGCTTGTATTCGTTGTGATGTTACAAATTAGTTTTTGGTATGGATGGTAAAACATGATCTTTCGTTACAAATTCCCACATACTTTGGGTGAATCATTGGCTTGTAAACAGATAGCAAGGTCTATCCCAAATTGCAGATTTGCTGAGTCATGTACAGAGTCATTCTGTTTGGCGTTGGTGTGAGACACGAGCGTTTTGGATGAGCACTTGCATGGTTTTATATGAACAAAAAGCAGGTGAAACCAAGAGGAAGTGTGTCTGCACTGTGGCAGAGTGAAACAGAGGTGGTGGGATACCATCCTACCTGTACGGACAGACATTCCTGCCAAGAAGACACACATGTACACACTGAGGGGACATCAGTGAAAACAACTGCTGTTTCAGTTCACTCTTCCTTGAGCATCTTCTTGTGCCTTCAGTTGCATTAAGTAGTTGAGGAAATAGACCTCCAAGAGTTTCCTTTGATTAAAACAGTTAGTTTAATTTCCAACTGGATGCAAAGAGGAATTTTAGGCATTTTTCCTCCTTTAAAACTGTCTAACAGTATGGAGCCATTTTTAAATTAGTAGCTGAATAAAAAACAACAAAAGCAAAGACAAGATGAAAAATCCCTGTAAATTGGAGAAAATGCTCGTGAATGCATTTGCTTGTTTAAAAGTTTTTATTCAACTATTCCTTCTCAATTTGTAGAGTGCCATTTGCAAAGAGGAAGTAGATTCAACACTTATCACATCTAGACATTAAGGCATTTGTCTATTCATTCAAGTTACTTGCTGTATCCCAGATTTGTAAATTAAGTAATAGAATAGCCACATTTAGCTGTAAATACAAACTGATAGCCTCCTTGAGAATGGGGAGTTCTTTTACTTGACTCTAGTGAAATCGGAGGTTGGACTGAACTTTGTTAAGTGAAAGTGTTCCCTTCCACAGTGAGTCCAAGGGGTTTTGCTTCCAGATGTCAGTGGCAGATCTTTGCTTTTTAACAGAAAACTCTGTAGGCCAGGTCATGGGTGTCATGGATGTCGTGGATGACCCCGCTTCTTTGAGCAATAACAGCTCTGCGATATTGTTAGCCTTCCAGGCGGAGATGGTTCCGATCATCGGGCCTTTCTTTACAAGATGTCCACCAGGGGACATTAGGAATCCAGTCAAAGAATAATAGAGTTTTAATTCTAGAGACACATATTTCTGGTTATCAGCAACTGAACAAAATTCATGGAAGAAGAAACATTACTCTTTATTTTCCTTTTTATCTTTTTTTCTTCTAAAAGCATTGCTCAGTGACCTTAATTTGAGATTGTTGAGCATGTTCCAGGGCATAGTAGCTTCATGTTCCCCTTTAGCATCACCTAGCCAGCAAGAGCACACTCAAGGACATTCTTCCCTCGAGTTGGACAAAGTCCATTTAGAACTACATTTGGTCTTGCAGGGGCAGGGGCAGGGTTGCAAGTCTCCTGCCTGAAAGCTTCTTACTGCCTCTTGTTTTTTGTGAGAGTATCTCTCAAGATAGAAAGAGTGGCCTTTCTCCCACTAGTTCTTTGGAGCAGATTTTCTTGGCAGTAGCACTGTCCATATTAGGGACCACATAATTCTTTGTTGTGAAGGGGTTGTCTTGTGTGTTTTAGGAGGTTTAGCAGCATCCCAGGCTCTACCCACCAGCTACACCCAATGGTGACTGATTAAAAATGTCCCTGGCTCTTGCCAGCTGTTCCCAGGGCGTGGGCAGAATTGCCCCAGATTCAGAACCACTGTTTTGGAGCAGTGTTTTCCAATGTAGCTGCAGATTAAAATCACTGGTAGCTTCAGCTTCAGGTTCCTCAGGTGATTCTAATGAGCAGAGCCGGCGAACCCATTGCCTAGGTGACTGATGGTTGTGTAACATGGGTCGGTGTGAGTGAAGCTCTCAAATACCCAGGCTTCCTGGGAAGAAGAAAGTTGACTTTTGTCTTCCTTTGCTGAAGTGAGCTCCGGCACTGAGAAGGCCCAACCCAAGCAGGTACTGTAAAACTTCACTCCGCAACCCAGAACAAGGCTATCTGCTAACGCCCTTAGCGGGAGTATGCTTTGAAAATTGGAGTTTTTGCAGGGTGTAATTGTTAGGTTAATTTGTGGAAACTGTGGCATATGAATAGTTTAAGATTACTTTTTTAAGCCTTCACAGCCAGATGGAAAAAAAGAACATGAGTTTCTAACTCATTTACAGTAGATGCCAGTGGTGCGTGTAGATCATGTGACGTGTGCAATGCTAATGCATTTTTCCCCACAAGAGAAGCCTGCATTTCAAGTCACCCAGTTTGTGGGTTTCACCCTGGGTTTTAAGACTGCTTCTTATTCTCTGGTGAGGCTATTAATGAGTGAACAAAAACTCGGAGAGCACAAAATGGCCTTGTGTGTGCAGGGGTAAGAACCCATGTGCGGAGAAGCCCAGCAGGATTTTTAGACAATGAGGGTGTCTGAATTAAGTAGTGGTGCAGTGTAGTGTGAACGATTACTCTCATAAATCTCATGTTTAGCTTAGAAAACATCATAACATCACTTATGAATGAATTTGGACAATAGAAATTGAATGTCTCTTGGGAGAAAAATTTCAGTGGTGACTATACCAGACCTGGTTTTAATCAAGGACCTCTGAGTATAATTCTATTGTGTGAACAGACACAGAGGTGGTTAAAGAACTAGGTACCGTACTTTTTGGACCATAAGATGCACCTAGGTTTTAGAGGAGGAAAACAGGAAAAAATTTTTTGAAGCAAAAAATGTAAAACATTTAATAACATAAATAACATAATATTTCACCAATGTAAATGTAAACGGAACTCAACAGCAGCATTAGCAACAATTATTCCTCCCAAATTTGGTGGGGGGTGGGCAGAGTGTGTCTTATAGTTTGAAAAATA